CTCTAAAGGGTATAAAATCTAAGTGTACATAAAGGGTTGAAAACCCTACTCACGGCGGATACACACATTTAGCCTAACCCCTAGGCAGCTGCCAAGAGACAATCTACCCACCCTTGCAGAACGGCTCGTTCGTCAAGGTTCACGAATTTTGGTTTTTTTCTTTCTTATCCTGTGACGTTTCTTTGGTTCCAGTTTTCGTTTATTGTCATCGATAAAGCATGTTCTTGTCTTATATAAAGCCTAGGGTTTGGTTTGAGAGGCATGAACATCAATCAGGATGTTTGGATCTCAATTTCTTTCTTCTCTTGTCCAATTCTCGTCTGTTCTTGTTACCTTATAATTTTTGTTGGTGACTTTTGTAATTGGTTTTGATTAGAGGGCGTGTTTAGGGATGGATGGTGATAATAATAATCGGAGGTACCCTTGTACCCGCATAAAATTACGTGAGGTGTTGGATGATCCTTCAACGGATTCAGTAGTTTCGTGGGGCGAAAGCGGGAAGAGTTTCATCATTTGGGATGAATCTGAGTTTCGCAGACTTGTTCTTCCAAAATTCACGATACATAAGAAGATGGACCCATTCCTTTACCGGCTTAAGAGGATGGGCTTTAAGAAGATTAACTCGGAGCATTGTGAATATGGAAACGATTCTTTTGTGAGAGGACAGCCTGACCCTGAGCCTGAGCCTTCAACAGAATTCTCGTCATCATCGAGACTGGAGGAGGCCATCTTGGCTTTACAGAATAGGAAACTCGATGAGGCCATGTTGGCTTTCGAGCAAAGAAGAGAATATCAAAAGCGATTTCCGTAAAAGAAAATCATAATCTTATTGTCTGATTAATCTCTCATGGAGTTCCTACTGATCAGTGTTTTTTTTTTCCTTTTCAGTTTTCATAACAAAAGTGATCTGTAACCTCGTCCCTTATGTGTATAATCTATTACGGTTTGAAACTTTTGGGGTTGTTCTATTCCAGCTTATGAACAAAGATCATTCATTATGTTCCAACTTTAACTTTCAGGGCTGCACAGCCACAAATCTACCGTCCAATTATGCTTCTCATCTTGATTGTCATGAAAACAAAACAGCAATGACAATCTCATGTCTCTTGACTCTTCTTTGAAATAGCTTTTTGTTAGTTGTGTATATCCATCACCTTCTTTAACACATTCTCTTTCTCTTCTAATTAATGTTAAGCAAACAAACCAGAGCGAAAGAATACAAGTTACTTCTTAATTCTTGTTATAGGATATGATACTGCAATGTTGTATAAAATTACAGGTGTGTACTTTCCGGAGGCGCAACGCATTGCCAGAGGGAACGATAAGGCACGATATCTGCCGGATTTAATCCCAACGCTGAAATGTTTCCGCCATACTCATTGTCAAATATTTTAACCGATGATGGTATTTTCTAAAACTACTATTGTCAGAGAACACAACGAAACATCCTAAAGAGGGTTGGTTACCTGAAGATCAAGGAACAACTGCATACACATCTTCTCTGTTTCATATACATTTCTGAAATTTTGGAAGCAATGTCACTCTTCTTTTCGCCTGCAACATATTACCGTCTTTTACTACACATAAGCACTCACCAACAATTTCTGCATCTTTGTAGTAATAATAAAAATTTTA